CAGTTGTTCAGTGTATGCTCATGCTTGTGGTGCGGGTAATTACATAATTACCGGGAAGTAGAGGCGGCCGGCGTGATGCTGACCACATCACCCATCTTGTGCCGATTGGTCTATAAAAATATAGGTCTGGCCCTATATGCCCTATACGGCTAAAGGCATGGAAAAGGGTCCTTTACCTTTTTTTCACTTCATTACATAATGTATTTAGTGGCAACATAATACCAATAATAATAAATAGCACCACTTGTAATGCGAATAATGTTTGATGTTTAATTAAGAACCGACATCACAGCACCCTAGACATTCCCATAAGCGTTCCTTCCCCATCTTCAGTAGCAGACATAGAGGTCCAGCTCCAGTGGTACCAATTGCAGTCTGATTGTATATGTCTGACCTTTCCCTTGAGTGCTGATCATAGACCAGATCTCCTGGTCACTTTTGGCAGTACCATTCTCCTCAGACCGTGATAATCCGTCTATGCTTCTTCACTGTTCACTCGTCCCCAAAGAGCCCTCACAGCATCTAGCTTGTCATGCCTCATCAGCTCACCAGCAAGTTGTGCAGAACCAGCCAGTCTGTCTGACTGTTCATTTCCTAATACACCAGCATATCCTGGGGGAAATATCCAAATTACGCTAACTAGGTAATGGGTAAGACCAGTGGTAACATAATTATTATAACTGATTTTATAAAGAGAGCTGTGTGTGTGTGTGTGTGTGTGTCAACTTAAGAAACACAAGAATACTTGGGTTACTGTCGCTATTGCATATTCTATAACTGGACATTAAGATCAATTCATATATTTGAAAATGGGATGTTTGAAGGCTGGTGCAAAATCAAGGATGTGGCAATATCACGCTAGATATAGCAGGAGTAAAATCAAAGTAGAGGATCATTTTCACCTCCTTAGGCATATTGGGCAAAAAGGACTAGACCTATATTTTATAGAACTATCAGCACTTGGTTGGTGATGTGATCATTATGACGCCAGCCGCCTTTACTTTCCATGACTTTTACCTGGTACTTTTAAGGCAGGGTTGACCTGAAAAAATTGTCTGACACCGTCCGGATTTAAACCCATGAACTTGGGATCTGCAGACGACAGCTCCCCCCCCCCCCCCCCCCCCCCCCCACACACACATGAAACAGTAAAAGAGAAAGTGAAGAAGAGGATGAATTAAATTGAGAACGAGGAATGGCTGGACCAGCAGTTAGAGCGCTGGCCTCTCATGTGTTAGATCCATGTTCAAATCCTCACAAAGATGATGGCAGTTTTTGATGTCAGAGGCAATAAACCTTATCTGCAGAGTTCATGGCAACCGCACAAACCATGCAGCCATACATTCTGAGACAAGACTCTCCTGCCCTTAACCACCCTAAGGGACGGTGGCAAATAGGCAGTGAAAACATGGCCCACCATAGGACATTGTCGGAGATTACACAAGATAGGATGTGGCTCAGTCGAGGGTATAAGTTCCAGTGAAAATATACATGCAGCAGCTACAGAAGAAGAATGAAGCGTAGAAAAAGAAGGAAAAAATAGAAAAGCATTAGAAGAAGATGAAAAATAAAGAAGGAGAATTAAGAGGAGAGGAAATATAAGAAGAAGAAGAAGAAGAAGAAGAAGAAGAAGAAGAAGAAGAAGAAGAAGAAGCAGCAGCAGCACTTTTAAAAAAAAGTGGTTTGTCCAGTCATAGAAATACTTTTGTCAGTATCGCCTGTTGAACTAGCAGAACATTTCGATCTTTGTTTGTATTCTGAAACTCATCACGGAAAAAAAAAATCTCCACACAATCTTTTGGCATTGACCTTTAAAAGCACCAGTTGCATTGATTGTACACTCAGTTCCCCCCCCCCCCCCTTTTGTCACCTACGTCAAGAACCAGTCAGACGGCACTCCTTTGTTAATAATTGTTATCCTAAAACCATTTAACTTTACCCTGCATATCAATTTGCCTAGAGCTTTCACTTAGCATCTCCTAAATATGTTTCTCCCACCTGCATACAAAATAGAAAACTGGCTGGTGTGAATCAGTTTTATGAAAGGAGGGAGGTTATTGCCATATCTCTACAGTCATGGATTGAGATTCACCTAAGCATCTTTTGACATTTCACGTCTGCAGACATTAAATGTTACTCAGTCAGCATTAGTGTGTATATGTGTATGTGCGTGCGTGTGTGTGTATGGGAGGGAAGAGGGCAGGGGGTGTTCCTTTAACTGTTTTCTAAACTTGACAGAGTAAAGTTAGAGGTTGTGGTATAGCATGTAGCCTTGCTACTCCATCTTCAGCTTCTTTTCATTCCTACTGCCTGTGGGTTTCAGACGCAAAAGCCACAAGCCTTTAATGAAGTCTGTGATGCGATGCGTGTCTTCCAGTGATCCACACAGCTTAGTTTCCACTAAAATACCAATTGACAGATCAGGGATCTCCTTACAGCATGTAGAGTGGTAATTTAAAAAAAAAAGTTAGTTGTGTATCCTTTACAGGACTTTGCAGAACCAACCCCAGTGTTTTTTTATGTTATGGTTTTTTTTTAGGGGGATTTAACAATCAGTAGTTTGTCATTGCTTTCTGTACTATCACCTCTCGGTACCATTGTTGAAACCAACACAAGACAAACCGTCTGCAGCTGGGATCGAACCCGGCATCTGGCATTACGAAGCACGTTCACAATGCCTAAGCCATAGACACCGATGTAGTACCTATTCAGAATCCAGGTGTGTCTATCCACATGAAAAAAGTTCCAAGTCCCTAATCTAGAATTGTTTTTGGGGGGTGGGCGCCTGCGTATGGCTACAAACGCATCAGCATTTTGTGGCTTAGGCGTTGCGAACACGTTTCGTAATGCTGGGGTGCCAGGTTCGATCCCAGCTGCAGGCGGTTTAGCAGCAGACCGTCTTGTGCTGGTTTCCTTTTTTGGATTTCACGTTACTCAATAATTATCCTTTACTTGACTACATGATACTCGTAACTATCTACACGTTACTCCATAACTGTTCTTTATGGGACTACACTATACTCCATAACTGTTCTTTATTGGACTGCACTTTACTCCATAACTGTTCTTTATTGGACTGCACTTTACTCTATTAGTGTCCTTTGTTGAAATACACACTACTCACTAATTATCCTTTTTTGGACTACATGTTACTCCATAACTGTTCTTTTTTGGACTGCACTTTACTCCATAACTGTTCTTTATGGAACTACACTTTACTTCATAACTGTTCTTTATGGGACTACACTTTACTCCATAACTGTTCTTTATTGGACTGCACTTTACTCCATAACTGTTCTTTACTGGACTGCACTTTACTCCATAACTGTTCTTTACTGGACTGCACTTTACTCCATAACTGTTCTTAATTGGACTGCACTTTACTCCATAATTGTCTTTTATTGGACTACACTTTACTCCATGACTGTCTTTTATTGGACTACACTTTACTCCATAACTGTCTTTTATTGGACTACACATTACTCCTTAACTGTCTTTTATTGGACTACACTTTACTCCATGACTGTCTTTTATTAGACTACACATTACTCCATAACTGTCTTTTATTGGACTACACATTACTCCATAACTGTCTTTTATTGGACTACACATTACTCCATAATTGTCTTTTATTGGACTACACATTACTCCTTAACTGTCTTTTATTGGACTACACTTTACTCCATGACTGTCTTTTATTAGACTACACATTACTCCATAACTGTCTTTTATTGGACTACACCTTACTCCATAACTGTCTTTTATTGGACTACACATTACTCCATAATTGTCTTTTATTGGACTACACTTTACTCCATAACTGTCTTTTATTGGACTACACTTTACTCCATAACTGTCTTTTATTGGACTACACTTTACTCCATAACTGTCTTTTATTGGACTACACTTTACTCCATAACTGTCTTTTATTAGACTACACATTACTCCATAACTGTCTTTTATTGGACTACACATTACTCCATAACTGTCTTTTATTGGACTACACATTACTCCATAACTGTCTTTTATTGGACTACACTTTACTCCATGACTGCCGGGTGTCCCAGTATAACTGTTATATGGTTCAATGGGATTTCTGAGATTTGCTTTTCTTAGACTGTCATCTGATTAGTGTTCCCTTGAGTCACTGAGTGTTCATCTTGCAGTATGCAATCTAAGAGAAGAAAATATATCCCCACACCCCATCCTTTTTCCAAAAAATCTTTGAGTAATCTGTTGGTATTACTCGTTGGCACCTCCCCCCCCCCCCCCCCCCCAGATGTTTTTAATGTTGATATTGCATCATATGTCAGCAGGTCCTGTACAGAGTGTTACTCTTGTCAGAGCATGCCATGAAGTCTCTCTTTCTCTAGCCAATTCTCCAGCCCTATTTCTCTTATTTACCTTTGCAAAAGTCAACATCTACCTTGTTTTCCAGTTTCCACAAACTGTACCCTCTGCCACCATCCTCTCCAGTCCACACTGATGTTTAACATGGCCAAACACCTCAGTTTTTGGGGTAGGATACTGTTTATGAGCCAGTTCTCCTATGTTTTTTTTTCTTTTTCTTGGTTCATGGTATTCTTTGATTGAGTAAGCATCTATGACTCACATCTATAAGTGGCCACATAATTTGTTTGCGGGGCCCGACTCGTAATTCCAACGTACTGGAATCGAAACCCACTGCTGGCTGCATGGATTTTTATTATGGCATGGGGCGTCGCAGGCCAACCCAGCCTAAAATGGGTACCAGGATGTATGTCCTGGGAAAGTAAAGACGACTGGCATAATGCTGACTAAATTACCCACCTAGTGCCTATTGGTCTGTAAAAATATGAGTACTTTTCCCATATGCCTGATGCACCTAAAGGTGCGAAAATGAATCTTTACTTTACTTTTACATAATTTGTTACTTCAACTTGCTTGCAGGTGCAGTGCCCTGGGTTCTTCATGCCAATTAGTCTCTGCAATGTATACATATTCACTTCACTCCTCCACAGAATATCCAAGATGTCACAGTGGTTATGGAAGACTACGCAGCTAGCAGTCCCAGAGAGGTCAGCGTCTTACGAGGGCAGCAAGTTGAAATCATAGATGCCTCACCAGGTCAGGTGGATTGGTGCCTGGTTAGAACTTTCCCTGCTGATGGAGCAGATTGTTCTCAAGGCTTGGTGCCTATGTCCGTGCTAAAACCCATGTCATACCTGCAAACACCTGGTGGCCGGAACAGTATAGACCTAGATGGTATACATGATTTTGACTCTTTTCATGTGTGTGTATACAAATATACCAAACATAGTAGATGTTTACCTGAACAGTTTAGATTTAGGAGTATGTTTTAGACACTGACGTTCAGAAAACAGAAACTGTGGTAATCAGTAGTGGACAAGAGTGACCAAATGTGAACATCCCAGTAAGTAGAGAGATATTAAACAAGTAACAGGTTTCTGCTGTCATGCACTTGTAAAAATATATGATGGCTGAAGTGAAACAGAGATCATAAAGAGAATAGGAAAAGACTAAAACTATTTAAGATGCAAAAACTATTGATTTCTGGAGAGGTAAACAACACATTACAAATTAGAATCTTTATGTGTTATGTATATACAGCCCTACTGTATGGTGCAGAAACTTGGACAATTCTTCTTCTTCTTTTGTTCGCCTGAAATAAGTAGTCTATATCAGCAATTTTGTCTCTTGTATAAATTTCACTGTTGTTGTTAATTCATTCAGTGGTCCATAGAGTTTACGTTCCACTGTTGTTCTTTCTGGCCAAAGGGTTTGCTTTAATGTGTCAAATTCGGTGCAGTCCTGGAGTACATGCTCTGCTGTCTGGGGCACTTTTCCACAGGTGCACATGACTAATACACCTATCACTTGGACAATGAAGAGGCAACTAGAAAATTGATTTGAGTCTCTGGAAATGGGGATATACTGAAGAATAGGTCATAGTTCATGGAAATGGGGATAAACTGTAGAATAGGTCATAGTTCATGGAAATGGGGATATACTGTAGAATAGGTCATAGTTCATGGAAATGGGGATAAACTGTAGAATAGGTCATAGTTCATGGAAATTGGGATATATTGTAGAATAGGTCATAGTTCATGGAAATGGGGATATACTGAAGAATAGGTCATAGTTCATGGAAATGGGGATAAACTGTAGAATAGGTCATAGTTCATCGAAATGGGGATATACTGTAGAATAGGTCATAGTTCATGGAAATGGGGATATACTGTAGAATAGGTCATAGTTCATGGAAATTGGGATATATTGTAGAATAGGTCATAGTTCATGGAAATGGGGATATACTGAAGAATAGGTCATAGTTCATGGAAATGGGGATATACTGAAGAATAGGTCATAGTTCATGGAAATGGGGATGTACTGTAGAATAGGTCATAGTTCATGGAAATGGGTATATACTGTAGAATAGGTCATAGTTCATGGAAATGGAGATATACTGAAGAATAGGTCATAGTTCATAGAAATGGGGATATACTGAAGAATAGGTCATAGTTCATGGAAATGGGGATATACTGAAGAATAGGTCATAGCTCATGGAATTGGGGATTTACTGAAGAATAGGTCATAGTTCATGGAAATGGGGATATACTGAAGAATAGGTCATATTTCATGGAAACAAAAAACAGTCCGCTACAGAGATTCTGGAGAGACTATGAAAAAAAAAAACAGAATTACTGAAAGAAATTTTTAAAAAAAGACTACATTAAAAGACATAACACACTTTAAAAAACCACACTGGAGGGAAGAGTTGATGGTGAGAGAGCAAGAGGTAGACAATATTACAAGTGGGAGGACAACATAAAGAGATGATGAACAGTAGTCTGAAAGAGAGTACAACCAAGACAAGAGACAGAGCATGTTGGAGATCTACTGCAGCCAGCCATATGGAGAGGGTACCTGACTGATTGATAGAAAAAATTGCACAAGATAGAACACAATGAAAGAGTAGACTGCGGCCATGAATAACAGCATAACAGGGTGATAGTGATGGTGATCAGATAGTCATTAGAATGTCAGGCAGATAGATATTCAATAAATTAAATTTTTTCCACTTAATTATTGTGCTGTGACCAAATTCATAATCTGTTCAAATCACCATTCATTACTGACATAATACGGACTAATAGAATGAAATGGCTAGAGCATATTGAGAAAAACTGTATACAAAAGGGAGCTGAATGGTTGTAGTCCATGAGGCAGACCATGAAGATGATGGAGAGATAATATCCAGACAGACTTACAAACACTTGGTGTCACCAACTGGAAAAAAAGACCAGCCAGAGAAATGAGTGGAGGTGGGTGATACCTGCAGCAATGAACCTCAAGGGCTCGGTATGCTAAAGAAGAAGAAAAATTATTGTGCTGTTTTTTCTTTGTTAAAATAAATCTGAGTCATTTGGATGTTGTCTTCCCCAGATTCTATGGGTAATGCAGAAGGCACATCATCACCGGTCAGCAAGCGCAGGACTAGCTTTAAGTAAGTGTCTTCTCTGTGCTGTCTGGTTTTTTTTTTCTTTTTTGTTTCATCATCATCATCATCATCATCATCCTCATAAACCACTTCTGCCGTTAAGCGTCGTGGGGAGGAATAATTTGCGATCCAGTGCACGTTGACCGCCACTGGCTATTGTCATGCTGTTAAGAATGTCTTTAATGTTGTCGATCCATATTTTTCCGTGGCTGTCCTCTTGCTCTTGTAGCTGATCTTCTGAGATGTAGTGCTTGTGATGGTATTTGGTCTTGCTGCATTCTAACGAGATGACCAAACCACTTGATCTGCTGTTTCTCAATGAATCTAGTACAAGGTGTCGTTCCCACAATTTGCCTGATAGTTTCATTATTCACTCGATCTCGGATGGTTAGGTTGGCTGCTTTTCTCAGGCATCTCATCTCACAGGTGGTGATTTTGCATATATGGGCTTTAGATAGTGTCCATGACTTCTGGTTTCTATTCTTTTTGTTTGATGTTGCTTATCTCAGTCAGTAGCAGGCAAATATTTTAACTCATTCTACATTAAGTTCTTCTTCAAATCCTCCTACTCCACTTGCATCATCTTGAGCCCTTAAGGTTCATAGCTGCATATGTCACCTTTCTCTATTCATGTCATTGGCCTTCTCTTTTCAGTTGGTGACTCCAAGTTTTTCTAGGTCAACCTCTTTATTATCTCTCCATAAAATTCTTGGTCTGCCTCGTTATCTGCTCCCACTCAGCTCTTTCGTGAATGCAGTTTTTGCATTAAGTGTTTACTTAAAGTAATATATGTTTGGGTCAGCATGAGTGAAAACATGGCACATTAAGAAAGAAAGAGTTACGACAACAGTAGGATCAGAGCTGAATTATCCTATCGACTGGATGTGGCAAAGGCATTAACTCTTTGGGTACCAAAGAAAATATTATATGTTTATTTATAAATACTTTAATTCTTTCAGTTCCACGGACAGGCTCAAGGGGTGTTAAAGAAAAGTGTATAATTGGCACAAATGCGTTGATTGGGCTTGTAGGTAGGAACCTTTGAACATATGATGAGTTCCTTGAGACTGAAAGAGTTAACTGTCCTCTGGTACTGAGTGAGTTAAAACAGTTGTACACTGTAAGTAGAGCCTATCAAACTCATGGAAGTGTTGCTTGGTTCTGAATAATTGGACTCACTAGTGGGAGTTGTGGTAGTTCCATGGCTTACATGCTTTCCTCTTTCTATGGGTTCCAGGGCCCCATTCAGGCATGTTGTAATAAAAGTCGACTGATGGGAGGCTTCCTTCAGGGTCGGAGTGCATCTGCATGAGAAGCAAGGAACCAGTAGGGTGCTTACAGATAAGAAAGATCTGTAAAACAGATGTACTCAGGTTCTGGAACAAGACTAAAGTCCAGAGGTGGATAAACAACCAGAACTTTCCACCAGAGTTTACAGATGGTGAACGTAAATAAGAAGAAGACATGCTTGCTGCTAGCCTGCTCTATGAATCCCTATTAGGGCAGGGATTTTTTTTTTAAAATAAGCAGGTCTCTGTGGTGAAGTCAAATTGTTTGCACTCTGAAGTTTATGGGCCCATTTCACAACTGCCTCACTTAGTTTGTGAGTGAATTTTTTATAGAAATCCCTGGAGATTATCACAGGAGCTACATACAGAGTTTGTATTTTATGTTTGTAGCAAGTAGCTAACCTTTTTGCAGAGAGACCAAACCATATGGAATAAACCCCGAAGTTAGTCCTCTGGACTTTTAAAAAGAATTGTGGCACAACTTTCAAAGTCATCCGGAAACTTCTCATTTTCTGTGTTGTATTAATGCGTGACTTATTGGCTTTTTCCCCCCAATGAAGCCTTTTGATTCTGTATTTCTAGAGTATTTGATGTTATTGGCTTTTTTCCCCCAGTGAAGCCTTTTGATTCTGTATTCCTAGAGTATTTGATGTTATTGGCTTTTTCCCCCCCAGTGAAGCCTTTTGATTCTGTATTCCTAGAGTATTTGATGTTATTGGCTTTTTCCCCCAGTGAAGCCTTTTGATTCTGTATTCCTAGAGTATTTGATGTTATTGGCTTTTTTCCCCCAGTGAAGCCTTTTGATTTTGTATTCCTAGAGTATTTGATGTTATTGGCTTTTTTCCCCCAGTGAAGCCTTTTGATTCTGTATTCCTAGAGTATTTGATGTTATTGGCTTTTTTCCCCCAGTGAAGCCTTTTGATTCTGTATTCCTAGAGTATTTGATGTTATTGGCTTTTTCCCCCCCAGTGAAGCCTTTTGATTCTGTATTCCTAGAGTATTTGATGTTATTGGCTTTTTCCCCCCCAGTGAAGCCTTTTGATTCTGTATTCCTAGAGTATTTGATGTTATTGGCTTTTTCCCCCAGTGAAGCCTTTTGATTCTGTATTCCTAGAGTATTTGATGTTTTTTGGCTAATTTATTGCACCACTTCTCTTATAACCCATTGCCATTGACAATTTATTTTCCTTTCAGTGGCTTTAGCAGGTGTCAGTAGATATATGTTTTCATACAGGTCTTCACTTTATTTTTCATCTTTGTTATCTTATTTTACAGTTAATTTGTTTTAGTTTATTGTACCCATGTAATTTCTGACATTCATTTTAAGGTTATTTTGTTTCAGTTTACCTAATTTACCTCTATTCTTCTTCTACATTCATCCACAAAAGGGTGTTGGGCATGTTGTTTTGTGGTTTTCAGCTTGGCTGAGATATCTGTGCCTTTCAGCCAAGCACATCCAATTTCAGCAGATCCTAGTCACCTCTTAGGACATGCTTGTTAAGGAGCAGGGGGTATATTTTTGTCTATTCTTTTTTTCTCTCTCTCAAAATAGGGCCCTGACACAAAAAACTACATTTAATTTGTGACATTTCACTTTACAGTGAATTCGTTTCATTTTGTTATGTTTTCAGTAAAAGCTGTTAAATTTTCCGTTTTATCTATTTTAATTTAGTTTGTTGTAGACAAAAGCACAACGTAAATGATATAATTATGCATTTCATGCGTCTTTGTATGAGGGAGACAACTAACAAAAACTTTTGACAACATATTTTATAAATAATCTCCCTTAGGTAAAACAACACTAATTCTTTGATCCGATAGCGACACTTTTTTTATTGTGTTTAGTACAGGAAAATAGAAGGTGATCAAAGAAAGCCTCTACTGTACTGCTTGAAAAGGTTATTAATGTTTGCCTGGCAGTCACATATAACAATACTAATTAATTAGCTTTAGCCACCTGTACCCATCTTTATTCATCATTTTTAGGAATCTGCAACAAATCGGTTTAGCCATTTGTTGAAGAAGAACCTATCCTTTGTCCAGGCGCAGCATCAGTTAAACCTTTGTGTTTGAACCATCCTTGTTTCTTTGGACCATCATTGTGCCTTTGTATTTCACTTGTATGTGTTGTCTGTTATCATCATCATCATATAACAGGTCATTTGCAGAACGTCCTTCCCATTGCAACCCATTAGAAAGACTTTTTATGTCCCTTTCTGAAATGTCCAGGCAAATGCCTTTTCATGCTGAAGGTGTCGTTCATGTCATGTGCCAGTCTGCGTCAATCCTGATCCTTTCCAGGCCTGCTTCCCTTAATGTTCTTTCTACACACTGCTTTTTTTTCCCCACTTGATCTGACCTCTTCTACCCTGGCATGTAGACTTTTGCCAGAGAGATCGGCAGACTTCTCTATCTGCATTTATTTACTTTTTAAAATTTATTATTTTTTTGGGCAGCATTAGCGCAGTTGATAGGAGACTCACTTTCAAATCCAGCTGCGACTCCCTGCAGCCCACGGCTAGTGTTCAAAACAGGGCAGTTCCTGGGGTTCACCCAGCCTCTAAGAAATGGGTACCAGAGTTGACACTCTGGGGTAAATGGAGGAACGTCGCTGTAGCTACAGAGTTACTTGCGAACTGCGACACAGGCGGACAGTTTCTTATCAGCTGTCCGTACTGGTGGCAGAGCACTTATGGTTTATAACCGTGTGCAGTGACGCTGGTTTTTTAATCTACCTCTTTTTAAAATTTTTTTATTTACTTGTTCATTTATTTAACTTATTCATGTTTCTCCTTTTTTTTACTTACACCTTCTTATTTATTTAGTTTTTTATTTTAGCCTTTCGTATTCATATTTTCTTCCCTGTTACGTACTTCTGAGTTTCATGTTGACCTTGGTTTTTGTTTTTTGTTTTTTTTTACTAGCTCTTTTGTCATGTCCATTGAGTTTTCCAGCTGCAATTTGTACTGCATTTAGTTCTCCTTTGATAAAGACTTTAGTCAAAAGTATTTATATGCATTCTTTCCATTCCTTCCCGTGGGCTTTCTAGTCAAATTTTGTGTTAGATTTAGCATTTCTCTATCACAGCTTTTTTTTTTGGGACTTTGTTCCTTTCCAGTATTCTGTCAGGTACAGAATTTTTGACCCAGCGAACCCTGGGTTATCCTGGTGGCTTATTTCCCTGGTTCTTGGCCTCCCAGGCCTGCTCTTATTGCTGATTCTCTCCCATTCTGCATACATGTCTAGACCATCGTAACTGTAACTGATCACCTCTAGTTTGTAAGGCCTGGGTTTCAAGATCAAGACTTTCTAAACACTGTAATGTTCAGTATGGGGAACTTGTTACAATTTCTGAGATATGATGCTGTTTATGAACCAGTGTTTTAGTGTTGTGATCTCTGTTATCTGTCATGCTAACATTTGCTTTTCGGCCCTGTTCAACTGCTTTTCTGTGATACAGTGCTCTGTCACAACTTGCTGTTGTTATTGTTACTATTTCTACGGATGTGCCTCGCTGCACTCTGAGCACACCCAGATGTACTCAATCTCTATCAGCAACTGGTAGGTATTCTGATTGTTTCTACAGCATACTCTTTGTGTGTCTGCTAGAACTGACCTTTCATGTGCCTATACAGGTCTGTGTTTATGAGTGTGTATATACAGTCATGTTGCTATAATGTATTTATGACTTAGTTATAGTTAATTGAAACCTCATACAAGTAGAACAGTTTTATTTGTTAAATATTTAGGTCAAGAGGATCGACTTCACTGCACTGGGTTTTATCCCGTGTGGCTCAGTTTTTCTCTCCGGTGAAGGGCTGTCCGCATGTCGAGAGCATCACACAAAGCACACAAACACCCTAGCTCTGGTAATGACCCCAAAGGGATTTCTCTAAAGATTGCACTTGTGAATTGAATGACGCAGCCATGAAACAACCTCCTTGACCACTTCACTGTGGAGACCTTCAAAGATCTGACTTGATGCGGATGGTCCTATTGTGGGGGAAAACATGAATCGACTCACTGTGAAGAAAGAAAAAAGAGCATGTCGTAAGAGTCGACTAACTGGGGCTTCCTTCGAAGCTGGAGTGCCTCTGCCCAAGCGGCAAGGAACAACCAATAACTGCACATAATAAGCCAGCAAGACAGATGTATACGCAAAACTCAGACCCTGGCACAAAGCCAAAGTCCAAATTGACAAACAGTCCTCGCTGAAGTTTACAGCCGGTAAATAAAGAAGGCAAAGAAGTGGGGATGGAATTTCTATTATGCATAACTTGTTAGTTTATTCTTTGTATTCCATTTGTCGGCATAACATTAGATTTCATATTATATTTTGTGTTTGTTTGATTATCATGTTACTGATATTATTTTCTGTTTAACTACTCACCTTTATATATGTCCTTATCATAATTCATGCAGCCAACAAATACATTTCTCTCCTTGTCACATGGCATGAGGAACCAATGTCATGCAATGTTTGTTGGCACCTTTTCAGATAATAGTGTTATATTATGCTATAGGGAGGAATAAGAGTAACTGCCCATTTATGATAGTAAGTGTGACTAGCAAGACTCTGCTGATATCCCTTGTCTAATCTCTGGGCAGTAATATAGAGGCCATGTGTTGCCCATGCAGCATGTTCCCTCACTAGGCCTGCTTTGTTTACTCCAAAGAAAAGCTAACAGCAAACTAAAGCATGCTGCAGAAGTTGCCGGGTCAGAAAAGCAGAGCTGTCGGTCAGAACTTTCCTCCTAGAGGTTCTTTCAACCAAAGCTAAGAACCGACTGCCCTGTCTTAAAATTAAGTCTGAAGTTTTAACAACGGACTAATATCATGGCACACGGGTAGTAACCCATCAGTGCTCCGTTCTGCTTCTGACCCGTCTGAGGCTGAAGAAGCTCAGCACAGTGCACAGGCTCTGTAGCACCGGCGAGGATCCTGAAATACTTTGGGTAGATTTTTAACTCCAAATTTTGCCCGCCTGCGCTGTTAGACTACCCTTTTCAATTTTCATCTGCCAAGGGATTTTTTACATACCCAACAATACACACGGGCAACCGATCTCACTACCCAGAGACCAGGGGGACTTACTAAAAATCCCAGCCCTTACCTGGGATTAAACCCGGAACCTCCATCACTCGATGCAGACACCATACCTCTAAACCATGCAGCCCCCAAAAAATAAGTTTTCAGGCTGTATTGTCATGTCCTAAGATGAGACTAGTATCCTCCCCAGTGTGTGCCTACACTTGAGTCCGTTGACTTAATGTGAGAATCTAAGCAAGAGTAATGAACACAAGACATTGATTATTATATTCTTTTCTTCGTTTCATTAGAAAGTGGCTGACCACCCCGGTCAGAAAACTTAGCCATGGTAGAATTGACAAGCAAGGGATGTTGCTGGATGCGCAGAAAACTTTACAAAAGGTCGACAGGATGGCCATCACAAATCCACTGTATGCTGACAGGGTAAGCATTTGTGGGTTCTGTGATGTGTGTCATGTGGATTCTTGTTGTGTTCTGACTGTTTTAAAGATTCTTTTTGTGGTGTGGTATGCTATGTTGAGCCTCTTCACAACATTCAAACTGCTCTGTCAAATCTCTTGCAAAATTTAACCGGCTTTGTTGACTCATCCTACAATGTTTAGTTTGTTTTGTAAATTTTTTTGTTTGTTTTACAATCTGCTCTTTTAAATTTTTTTTTTTTTTTTTAAATCCATAATGACATTCTAGCACATCCGTCTGGTCCATTCCTGCTCCATCTTTCTATGCTGCAGAGCCATCTCTCACGGCCTCCATTCTTATTATACCCGGTAGGAGTTGATTCGTATATCTTCTTTCCATGTTCCATAGTCACTTTCTGCAAGTTTTTCCTTTTCTAATACCCATTTCCGACAGGCAGTTTATCTTCTTTGACTCCTTTGTTTCAACGTCTCTAGAACGCAATGCATTCAGTACGTCTGCCCTGTTCATACTTCTCTTCTTCTTCTTCTGCCAAGTACTGCAGACGCAGCCAGTCTATTGGCTCTTTCGTTTCCTTTCACAGCCAAGATAGTTTTTAGAGGCAGGACTTCAGGGTGCTGTCAACCCGTTCTAGTTGGAGTTTGTCAGTTTCGGGTTTCTTAAGCATGCTGATTGAGTCTGTCACTATGAATTCGTGAGTGGCTTTCTATTCTGCCTGCAATGCAAATGCATTTCCTAAATACTTGATGTAATCAAATCGCCTGCGACTCGCTGCATCCCACGGCCGGTGTTCAAAACAAGACGGTTCTCGGGGTTCACCTAGCCTCTAGGTAATTGGTACCAGAGTTAACACTGGGTTAAATGGAGGAATGTCGCTGTAGCTACAGAGTTTCGTGCGACACAGGCGGACAGTTTCTTTACGGCTGTCCGTGCTGGTGGCAGAGCACTTGTGGTTTAAAACCGTGTGCACTGACGCTGGTTCACATATCCCGACTTTACCTTTTATTAAATCGCCATTGAGACAACAGAATTCCCCGTAAAATTAACTACACGCTTACTGTACAACATGAAGTTGTAAAACTGGCCTCAAATCAGTAAATTGATTGTGTGTCACCTAATGCTGTATAACATCGATGTTACATCATTGGTTCCGGTGGGTAATGACCTGTCAAGTTAATCACCCCAGACTTGCAGCAGTGGCAACAGCTGCAGGTAGGTATAAGCGGTACTACCTTCGGATAGTTAGTGGAGCTTGTTTAATGTCTGAGTGGCTTTTGAACTTGGAAACATAAGTTTAGAGGCAGTAACCCATGACATCATCATCACAATCATCATCATCACAATCATCATCATTATCGTCATCATCATCATCATAACTGCTATCACCTTTATCATAATCGCTGACATCATGCCATCATCAGCTTCCACTTAAGCAGCGTGGGGAAGGAACAGTTTGCAGTCCAGCACCTGGCATCTGACAGTGGTTATTGTCATTTTTGTGTTGATGTAAAATGCCTTTAAAGTTAGTGTGATCAGTTTGCACTGAAGTCTTGTCTAACTAGTGTGATCACTTCACCTGTTGAAGTCTTGTCTAACTGGTGTAATCACTTCACCTGTTAAAGTCTTGTCTAACTGGTATAATCACTTTGCCTGTTGAAGTTTTGTCTAACTGGTATAATCACTTTGCCTGTTGAAGTTTTGTCTAACTGGTGTGATTAGTTCACTACTGAAGTCTTGTCTAACTGGTATGATCGGTTCACTACTGAAGTCTTGTCTAACTGGTATGATCAATTCACTACTGAAGTCTAGTCTAACTGGTATGATCAATTCACTACTGAAGTCTTGTCTAACTGGTATGATCAATACACTACTGAAGTCTTGTCTAACTGGTATGATCAATTCACTACTGAAGTCTTGTCTAACTGGTATGATCAATTCACTACTGAAGTCTTGTCTAACTGGTATAATGAATTCACCACTGAAGTCTTGTCTAACTGGTATGATCAATTCACTACTGAAGTCTTGTCTAACTGGTATGATCAATTCACTACTGAAGTCTTGTCTAACTGGTATGATCAATTCACTACTGAAGTCTTGTCTAACTGGTATGATCAATTCACTACTGAAGTCTTGTCTAACTGGTATGAATAAGTTCCGTGCTGAAATCTCATTTACCCAGTGTTATAAGTTCTCCACTGAAATCTTGTCTAACAGGTGTTTTAAATTCCCTGCTGAAGTCTTGACTAACCGGTTTGATCGGTGCCCTGTTGAAGTGTTAACTAAACCAGTTTTATCACTTCCTTACTGAATAGTTCTCATGTCTGTTTGATAGTTTCCTATCGAAATGTCCGACCCTATCAGTTTCCTGCTGGCTGTTATCTAACCGCTTTGATTAATTCTCTACTGAAGTCGGGTGTCTAACCGGTTTTATATCAGTTTGTTTTTTGTGATAACATCTGCATAATTAGTCCCGCCACCAAATGTAAAACATACATTGCTGATTTGAAATTTTCGGCAGCAGATCAGAACTTCAGAGCTGGGCAGCTGTGTGCGACAACACCCAGGCCAGATCTAATCAATATTGTCAACTTGTTTCGTGTTTGTGTTGTGCCGTGAAACATTCAGTGAACGAGGCCGTGAATAGTGACACGGAGGGTGCATTATATATAGATCGGTTTTGTTTTGTTCGTTCATATTTGTCTCTGCGAGTCTCTCTCTATATATATATATATACACACACACACACACACACACACACACACACACACAGATATATATATATATATATATATATATATATATATATATATACCAGAAGAAGGAGGAGGAGAAGAAGGAGAAGAAAAGGAATTTATATATATATATATATATATATATATATATATATATATATATATATATATATATATATATATATATATATATATATAAAGAAGCGCTCGCCTTTAAAGGGCAGTTGGCACTCTGTGTTGTGGTGTTTTACAGCCAGTCTGCGATATCTGACCTTTTCGGCCCAATACATCCGATTTAAGGAAATCTCTAGTTAGTCATATTTTACGAAATGCCTGTTAGTGACAGTGGGTCTATTCTTTTTCCACTGCTCAGAATGGAACCCTGTAACCCACACCTGAAGTTCACTGTAGATCGTAGTTTTTCCTGTAGTTGTGGCTACTGATCTGTCCACAAAGCACATGGTAAGAAATACCGTAGGTCCAGCGACAGCTCCCTGGGATCTCCATTAAACTCCCACTGGGAACTGACCGATGAAAATTGCACTCACGACCGCGTGGTGGATTGAGTCATTGCAAAACTCCACGGAGTTACCTTCATCTTTGTCCCAGGGTATGCGTGTGTTGCTGGCGCTGAAAGAGCCGATATATCAGCCGGCTCTGCTTTAGTTACAGAGACCCAACCTATGGATCACGCCGACATTGTTAACGTCATTAGAGAGGTAGGGCGTTTGGAGAATTTTGGGAGCATCAAATTCACATCGTTGTTCAGAGTGCAAGAATTGGCGGTAAAGATTGGCACCCCGGACGCACAAGAAGTCTTGTCAACCAACATAGGACTGTGACCATCAACCGCAGGACGCTGACGTATATGTTGAAGGGGGAATCTGTGCACCTATAGACGTGTCCGGAGTGCCGTGAAGATATTCCAAATCATAACTCATAACTCAGAGTGCGATTAGGTGCAGACCTAGCCATAACACTTGGGCACCCAAGAATGTTCAGAATTGTTTGCGGCAGGTACAGAGGATTGAAGTCCGGCCACCCGAATACCCCCACATAACACAGTGAACGCACAAGTAGTGTTGGGATGTAATTGTTTAACAAGGTTTCTTTTTCTTCTCATCTTCTTCTGCGTTCGCCCAGGTTTGCTTGCCAAGTCAGTAGTTCATATTCGTTCCCCGACAGAGATTTTATTTTTACCATTAGCTGCGACACACAAGGTCTGCTCGGCCTCATAAAAAATGGCATTTCTGGACATTTTTTAAGAAAGAAAGGGATTGATACAGGAACTGCTCACTCTTTTCTACACTTTACAGCCCAACTGCGGTATTTGCTGTTCTTCTTCTTATTCTCCAACCCCTCTTATAAAATCCATATGATAAAGTTATTATGGGGCAGGAAGTAGCCGATCACCCTAGTAGAGCCTGCCTGTTAGGGAAGAGGCAATGGATGTCCTTATGGAGTCCATACGCCTGGCGCGCCCCTCTCGCTGACCAGACGGCCACGATCACGACTGCATATCCCACAGCCATTCAGCCTCTTGGCACGTAGATCCCCTTTAGGCTTTTTTTTTTTTTTTTGGCCTAGGTTTGTCTCCTTTAGATCCGTTGCATTCCTCTACAGAGGAAAGGCAAGACGGACATACAACCAGTTTACGACCGGTACCATTATTATTGGAACTGCGCTTGCGTCTGAGGATGAGACGGAGCACACATGGGGATGCCCCGAGTGCTGTGATGTCAATTCTTGGTTAAACTAGTTCGCCTCTTCTGCCGCCTCTTCCTGCAGTTATTTTATCAAATGTTTTATAGGAGTTGGAAATGGAGGGGGAGAGATGTAAGGATCTCTTGTACTCTTTCTAATGCGTTGTATTAGATGATCTTCATTTGTTTTAGGATGTTCATGATACCGTCATCCCATTTGTTTCTGTTTTGCGTGGTATGTATGTATGTATGTATGTATGTATGTATGTATGTATGTATGTATGTATGTATGTATGTATGTATGTATGTATGTATGTATGTATGTATGTATGTGTGTGTGTGTATGTGTGTGTGTATGTGTGTATGTGTGTATGTATGTGTGTATGTATGTATGTATGTATGTATGTATGTATGTATGTATGTATGTATGTATGTATGTATGTATGTATGTATGTATGTATGTATGTATGAATGTATGAATGTATGAATGAATGAATATGTGTGTGTTCACTGTTGATCTCTATGACATTTGATACCATGAAGTACTTTCCAGAGGGCCAGACCGTCTCAT